CAATTTAAGAGTGAAACACAGGCCAACAACGCAGCTGTAAAATATCGGCCATGCTTCTATGAATATCATTATAAGACGTCATTAGTGACTTATAACTACATTTTTCAAATTCCAAGCGGATGGTATCAAATTCAGTTGGGATATAGTATAGTTTTAATGATTTTCCTGAACAATACCACACAAAAAATACTGAGCCTTATTAAGAATCAGCATATTTGTATCCTAATGACAGTTATCATAGCCAATTAGATAGCCCAATCACAATCCCTGTTGATGCGAATGGCTTCTGTTATGTAGCAGGCATTGTTGATGTATATCATGTATTGATAGAGTAGAAGAATGTAATGATAATAGTGACTCAGAAGATAACAATTTTGATAATAATAGAATGTATACTAAGAAGAGAAAGCCTACCCTCAAATGGAACTGTACAGTCAGGTGCAAGCCTTTATTATTTTGATGAACCCATTAAAGAATTGAGGAAGCATTTAGATGCATGTGACAATTGTCTGAATAATCATTATATGACTGGATCCATGCATTTGGTAGAAATAGATCAAGTGCATGAACATAATTTGTGATAATCCAAATGTAACGGTAATTGTTAAAAAGGATGATAATGGCGTTGAAAAATATGTAAAATATTTAGAAATTTTCTGAAAGGAGAGGTCATCCTATTGTATGTAGTAGTAATCATACTGAATGTAAAAGTATGCTGCGTATTTTAGGCAATGCGTCTGTTCATTATCCTTTGTTGAGACGCCTTTTAAAACACTTATGTTGCTAGAAATGCCCATTTAACAATAAATATTGCATAATAATGAGTGGGCGTATCAAAGGCACTGCCTGTGCTACAAATGTCATGTATCCCTGTGGTTTCATTTGTATCCCTGTGGTTTTGACACTAAACAATCTTATCAACATCTTTTAAACAAACTATTATAAATACTATTTCAATAAAAATGACCTAAATCATAAGTGATATTAGTAGATCGATGTTTTTCCTTTGTCCACATGAAATAGCCCATAGTCCATTTAGTAGTCCATAGTCAATTTAGTGGTCCATAATCCATCACTTTTGAACTGTAAAGTTACAATATGTGAAGGAGCATCCACGAAACAAGTGATCAGATGTCTTTTCCAGCGAAACACTAGATTCCGTTAGGGCTGATAACAAATTAGAAGACTCTGGTAGAGTCTCAGGTGCCTGTACACATTAAAGTACTTGAGATGCTGCTACCATTTGCTTATTTGTTGTTTTCTCATATACACGATGAGCTGTAATAGATCTATGGCCAGATCGCTCTTGAATAATCTTCTCCGGTATGTTTTCTTCAAACATCGAAGTGACTGCAAACGACCGTAGACTAAGAGTAGTCTAGTTTCCTTCTACACCGGCTTTACTACACATTGTCTTGACCATAGACCTTTTCCTTTGATAACGCTACCATGACAACGTATCTGTATTCGCCATATTGATAGGCAACGTGTACGAAAATGGCTATCTCACTTACTACTGCAACCGCTGTTACAGAAGAGGTTTCTGTGTTAAAGTCTTTCTTGATCGATGCTAAAAGGATGTCAGAGGAAGATATAGCCAAGATTCGCGAGGTAATGCTTCTGAAAACGGGAAGAGAGCTCCATGCATTGGCAAAGTCAGTAGCAGTGAGACTGACAGGATCGACTCATAAAGCTGATATAGTAGACCGGCTAATAGCTATGGCTAAGATTGGGGCAATTAGAGACACATCTACCGATGACTCGACTGGAGTAGGTTTCACTGGTATCAACTATATAACAGATGAAGTCAAGAGTGCTTTGACACAGCTGCCACCATTTGAAAGCATAACTACTAGTTGGAATAAGTCGACTAAGGATATATTGAAAGATTTTACATTTATGAATTTGCTGATTTACCTAGTGTAAGGGAGAGACAAATCATTTGATATGAAGTCACTGAAAGCATTCAAGTCACTGAAAGCCTACAAATTCTTTTATGACGGCTTTGTCAAGAATGTATTGGTGCATGAATGCTCACCTACAGGAGGCAGTGTTGTGTTACGAGTTCTCTATTTTCGTGCTTATGTTCATCTTAGTTTACTTGTGAGTCACCTCTGTTAGTGTTTGTTTCCATAAATGGAGACAACGGAGATGTATATGCAGCAAAATGCAACTGTGTGTCAGGGTAAAGTTAAATTACAAGAATTAAAATTATAATCGATATTTTTAGGTTAGGACAAGCATGTAATTATGTAGCTGCATTATTTTTTTCATTGAGCATTATGTGAGTACTGGACAGAAATGCCTACCAACAGAGGTGTGAAAGACATCTAAACCAATGGCTTGGAATTAGCCTCCAAAGAAGGAAGTCAGTCCAGCTCGTGCAAAAGATATTAACTTCGTAAAGCCTAGTCATAGTGATATAAAGGACAATAATGAAATGAGAAAATACAAGCGACATAAATTTCATCCAAGGCAAATGCTTCATTGAACACTTGATTCAGATAGTCTCACAATTCTTTTGGGAGATGTTAAAAAGTCTGTACCTACCTCAGGATTAATGCAGTTCTGGGAGAATAGCCCAAAATATTGCAGTGAACAAACTGATTCAAATTTGTGGATTCATGTCATCTTCTGTCATGAAAAGTATATCAACTTCAAGAAGGAATTTATAGTCCTAAGTATTAGCCAATGCTGTGACTACTTAAAGTCTATTACACTTTCTCAGGGAGAAGTGAATCTAATCGAGGTCGCAACTGGTGAACAGGCTAGAAGCAATTTGTGGCATGCATTGTATAATGGAAGAATCACTAGTTCCAGATTTGGTTCATCGAAGACAATGAACTGACTCTCGAAGAATTGTTAAAGATATAATGGGATATAAAAAGGAGATTCCAAAATATTTCCCACCCCAAATTCGATGGGGAAGAGACAATGAGCCTAGGGCACTTAAATATTACCTTGAAAGTCAGTTGGCTATTGGAGAAGAGATGTTGTTTGAGCCAGCAGGCTTGTCATTGTTACCAGAAAAGGCATACTTAGGAGCATCATCTGATGGGAAACTCACTCACAAGTCAAGTAATACTTGCATTGGGTGCTTAGAAATCCAGTGCCCATACAGCATAGATGGATTTCTTACAATATCCCTTACTCCTGATGAAATAGCAGACAAGTATGGAAATAAATTTATGCTACAAAGAGGAGAAAATGGCTTGCTCAGTCTACGTAGAAATCATTCATACTATGCACAAGTGCAAGGGGAAATGGCCATTCTCAATGTTGATTAGTGTGACTTTGTTGTTTATAGTAAAGATACTGTAATTGTTGATCATATTGTTAGTGATTTTGATTACTGGACTAAATTACAGGAGATTCTTGATGAGTTTTTTCAAACATATTATTCCAGAAATTTTATCTGGAAAAATTTTTAAGGAAGAATACACTATTTAATACTATAATATTAGAGGTAGAGATAGTAAAAGACATGAGGATTGGGAAGTACTATATATGAATGTACATGAATTATGTAATAGTAAAGATTACATTGTGCTACAGTATTAGTCATAGTTTAGTAATGGTATGAAATAATTATACATATGACTGTACATGTACAGTAATAGTAATTGGATCAGATTATACATTCCAATTATTAATGATAAAAGTGCTAATAATTATTTTTGTCTACCAATCCTGATTCTCTTTTCATTCTACCTTGGGACTCATTCACAGTCAAACACACACTCACTTACTCTCCATAAATTTGATAGTCTAACAACTTTTAAATACATGTATACAATCCATTTAAATCATAACAGAGAGATAGCGGGAATGGGAATAGAGAAAAAGAGTATGCATATACAGAACTAATATCCTACAAGAGGAACATCAAAATTAGTCAAATACATACAAACTGCATTGATGTCACTAATTAAATCACCCATTAGATTGGAAAAAGTGTGGTTCAATATTTCATATCGACGACCTCTTCCTATCACTCGTTCAATATGAATTCTGTATTCAGCAATCCGTCTTGTCTTCTCAACATCATAGGCACTTAGTTGTTTCTGTGATCCTAAGCGAGGAGGTACATTCAACAAAATTCCTTTAGGAGCCACTACCTCTTGAATATCAAAGCCCCTATCTGCCATAGTCATATCTCCTGGTTCAAGAAGCTCTAAAAGTCCAGATTGGCAAGTAATTTCACGGTCTGATACCCAACCCCCCATGCTTCAGAAACAAAACTCACTAAACCTGATGGGGTACATCCAATGAAAATTTTCCAAGTATTTCTGCTTTTGTACTGTGAAAATGTAACAGATGAATTGAGTATGGCTGATGGCCGTTGGCACTGAACTTCATAACAATCAATAACTATCCTTGTGTTAGGAAAATTCTGTTTAATTTTCCTGGGCATCCAGTTGTCAATCTGCTTTCTTGATGGAAATGGAAACAACTGTCTCAACTCCTTGGATAATTAGCAAATCCATGTTGTAAACAGACGGCTATAAGTAGACTCACTTATTTTGAATCTAAAAGCAGTGTCTTGAGTGAGTAACCCTAATCTCAAACGCATTAGAACAGAAAAAAGCTGATCTTCAACAGCAATTCTTGGAAAGCAACTGGCAGTGGTGGAATGGTTATTTCTCTGGCCACAGTTTCATGGCGTCATTACTGTAGCTTTGGGTTTCAAGTAGTCTACTAATGCCTTAAAAGCACCATACGTTGGTAAACCAGTGTAGAATCGGGTTTTTTGGTCATTGTTTATTATGACATAGAAGGAAAACTCAGCAGATGGAGCTCTTGATATATCTAACTCTACAATTTTTGCATCGAATTGCTCCGTGTCTCTCTCTTGGTCAGTTTGACATTCTGCATAAATAACAAATTATACATCACTTTAATTTTTTGCAAACATAAAAACATACCAATATCAACGGAAATCGTTTCAGATGGATCAACTTTAGTCAGCTCAGTACGACCATCTTGAGCCACACCTTCCATCACCAATTCATTGAAACAATCAGCATCATGCCTTGCAAGTGTCCCATGATCATGTCTCTGCAGCACAAACTCTGCAATTCCTGTTCCATCCTTTCCAGTCTCACTTGCTCCAATAGTACTGCTCTTGATCTTTGCTGAGCTCTTTCAAACCTAGCTACAGAATGAGAAGGCTTTGCACAAGTGCCAGGATCAACCAACTGAACTGAGGCAGGAACAGATGGTACATAGTCTGGATTGTTTGGTATATTAGACTTGGACCCAGAAATGAAGTGCTGTGAACATACACAATCTCCATTTCCTGGCTCCCAGGGAGTACAATCGTAATTTCTGCGACCTACAAAAGAAAGCCAACTTCTTCTACGGGCAAGATCTCTTGGAAAGTGATAAAAATGATAACTTGAACAAGTAGAATGTCGATTGTGGCATCCTACCACGCAGCAACGTGTTGGCATCTTGCCTACCAAAATGACGGTTTCCGTATTCCCCCATTAATTTCCATTTCAATTGAAAAATGTCTATAGTAGCCAACTTATTCCTTCCTATGGGAATGCTTGTAAACCATGGCTTCCCTTCTTGTAACACAGAAACTGGACGAACGTAGAAATTATCTCTTCAAATTGCTTCCTTTGGCAACTTAGACAAGTACAAATCTAGGATCTTAACGTAATCTCTGCTTCCAGCTTCTGGGACTTCAAAATAATTAACGACTTTGTTTTCTATGTGTAACTGCCCTAATCCATCAGATCTATTTTAGCTACCATGCTCAGTGTATATGTAGCAGATCTTTTGGACTCCATCTACAAACAATAGATCACGACGCAGTTGTGAAAACTTGAGTTGGCAATGTTCATCTCCTCCCCATAAACAGAGGTTTTTGCCATTGTAGAAAAAGACGCAATTTAACAATCCAGCTGGGGTAGTTATGTCCAGTACCTTAGTATCCCAAGGAATATTTTCGTCATCTTTTGATAGCGTCTCTGTACGTCATGCTTCTGCTCCTATACCCTTCTGGTGAAGGCGGCGAAATTCATGGTCACAAACGTTATGGAAAGCCTCTAATCGAGGATCGTTGAATATGTTAATGGCCGATGCACGCCCTTTCTGAAGACGCATGTGTCGCTGTAATCCAGCCAAGAGCAGGTACAAAGTCTTCGGTGTATTCTCATTACCATCCACCTTCCTCGTTTCTTTTACGTACAAGCTCAAACTATGGCCTATCTCTTTTGGGTCATCGCTTAAAAGCACTTCCATTGGCTGCTTACTTTCATAATCAGGAAGCATCTCCTTTCTCTGCTCAAACCACTGCTCATAATTGGCCAAAGCCCATTTGTTATTAGCGGCCGTATTATTGGTAGAATAGGCTTTCATAGCTTCTTTTAAGTCACTATCCTCAATAGCAAAGTAAAACCGATCCTTTGATAGTTATAAGGACACCTTCCGACACTTTGGAATCGGTTGTAGTTTGTCTTTTTCCTCGGCATTCTCCTTCCTGCTTCCATTTTGTTGACCTTCTCAACCTTGACCTTTATGTTTCTACCACAAGAAGTGAAGTCTGAGAATGCGCATTGGCGCGCGCCTTTGACATGCCCACTCATTGTCACACAAATATGTTGATAACACCCCCGCTGCGGGATACATCGCATTTGTATGACCTCGCGCTCGGGCCTGTGGCCCTTGGGCTCAGTCATACAATTGCGACGTATCCCTAGCGGGAGTGTTATAACGTTTACTTATTGACTCTTCCCTTGCTGTAGGCGATATAGCACAATTGACAAATTTTAAAATCAGTGAAGCCAATGAGATTGAATTTGATAATCTGTATTACACTATTAATGATGGTGAAGAAGACCCATGTAGAGTACCAAACTTAGATACTGCACTTTATTTCCAGTATTCAGATGCTATTGACGAGTTTAAGAAAGTATTGTCTGATCAGTCTGCTAATGCTTGTTGTAGCTGTGAGAGGCTTTTAAGAAAAATTGTCACTGAAGCTAAAAATTTAGATAGCAATGTTTGAAATATCCTATTAGATTATATTAGAGGGAATGATCCTTCAGCATTAAATAAAGTTATTATATAGGCGGTAGCCTATATGTAGGGTTGAAGTTGATTTGTCAAGATGGCGACAAAATTTATAATTTTTAAACGCTTATAACTCTTTCATCTTACCTTGTACAGCCTTATATACCGCTTAGATAAGTTCTCCTTTGCTGAGCAATTCTCCTGGTACCTTTAAAGTGAAGTGTATTGTAGTGGGAGCGATTCTGGAGAATAGGCCCAAATTCAAATTTCTGCAAAATTATTCAGACTTTTTTTCTTTCTTTCATCTTTCTTCTATCAACACGGAAATCTTTTAAACTAGAGAATGGCTTGCAATGGCTTTTACATCATTCCTTTGAGCTTGGGTCAAGGACAAGACAAGTGCTTTTATTATCTTACTTAGTTTAAGTTTAAAAACTAATTATTTGGGCGTGATGTATCACACCCCTCTGTTTAAGACGTCATTTTAAAATTAAATGCGCATGTGCAAAGTTTCCATAGCTACATCACTGTGTGGTAGACTGCTTGCAATATTCTCCTCTTGGTCTTTGCTGAGGTTAGACTTACTTGCAAGGAGTACCCACTGCTCAGACTAAGAGAACACCTGTTCTTTTAAGAGCTAATAGGTAAGTAGTTCATTAATTTAACTGTTAAATTTAAGGTTCATTTTAAATTAGAGGTTACAGCTGCTCAGTACTAGCTAGTCAAGTTATTGGTCTCGCCCACCTTTGCATAGGCGAGGACTTGGGTACTCGGTTTGTCTGTCTGTCATGCATTACCCGAGACATGTGTGGCGTGATTGAAGGTAAAGTAGTTGTCTTGTCTGTGTGTTTGTGTTCGCTTGACCTCCACTTTTGAGCAGACACTGCTTTCTTGTCTAGTCCCGGAGAGTCTTATAATCAACACTGGCTCTAGAAAAAGTTATTCTCCATCTTTGGAATGCTAGATGTCTTTTACGTGGAGTAAGAAGCTGGCAAAGTCGTCAAACGTAGGTCGCTTCCCCGACAGCTCTTTTGTAGTTAGAGCAAAAGGGCAACAGGGCAGATAAAACAATAAAGCAAAGCCTCATCTTTCATTACTATGAGAGGAATTGCTCCAATCATCTTCGTTTTAAAGATATGATAGCCCAAACATGGCATACCTTGTGAGTTTACACGAAGCTCTCTTCTCCCGAAGTAGTGGCCAGAGTCATTAAACATCAGGGACTCAAAAGACGTTTGTGTGCAACAAGTAGAGCCTAACAAATGCATGCTTGAACGTTTTAAATTTGACAAGAACTAAAGCTTTCTTCACCACTTATGGCCATGTGCCACCATTTCTGTGTGTACGGGTGGAGCATGGTTTGATTGAGCCACACTTTCATTGCAGCCACACCTTTACATTGCTGCAGCTAGCTAGCATGCAGCAGTGCAGCAAACAAGTGGAGCTTCTTCTTTGTCTGAAAACAAAGCATTCTCTGTCTCAAAACATTCACTAAGTTTTAACAAATCTAGTACATGCTGAAGCTTCTTTGTCTCAAAAGTTTCACTAATTTTAATTTATTATAACTGTTACATACAGATTGTGTCGAGGGTATGCACTTTAGTGCTGTCGTTCATTCAGAATGTATATCTTTGCAATTGCGCACTATAAATATAAGAGAACTTCTCTTCTGCTTGGAAGTCTTGCTTTACTGCCTTGAGATGTTTAGAGAGCAGCTCTAGCTAGTAGAAGCTTTTTAACTTTCAAGAAAATGCCTAGCAATAGTGGTAGTACTCTGGAGGTAAATGAGACTCTTTTCCAGTAGATCAAGACTAGTTATTGTTTTAATATGTGTGGGACTCTTTAAATCTTTCTTGTTGTTGAGTTATAGCTTCTTAAATTTCAACCCGAGCGAACTGTAGGTAGTCTAAAGGTCCTAAACTCTCTCAAATCACTCAATTTACATCTAGGCAACAGTATTTGCGCCATAATGTCATATAGCGTTTATAAGAAGAGAAAAATCTGAAACTTCCTTCTTGTTGCAGGGCCTACTGCATCAAATAATTAATAGTTGATGATGTCATGCCACACCTCTAATTTGGGAGTAGCTGGAGTACGCTGCTACTTCTGCAGGCATGCAGTCTGGTTTGTTTTTAGGATGTGTCTCTTTGATAGAGACCACATCAAAAGCTGTGGTTTTACAACCCATGATGCTATTTTTTAAATGAGAGTGTATAAATAGTTGATAAAATCCAAGTGTTAGTTGGAATTTTGTAAACACAACACCAATTCTTGGAGGGACTCGAGAGTCCCATCATGCTTTTCACACTTGCCCAGAGTTTTACTTTTGATCTAAATGTACAGGTGTACTTGCAGGTCAGCTTGGCTAACTAAGCCTAACACTTCTTAATCAACTATAGGGATGAGGCCACACACCTTTGGTGTCTCGTTTAGTCAGCTGCTTTTGAAGTACTGCATTGTATTCTTCTTGGTGCTACAAAAAATTGAGGTAAGTGTTTTAATATGATAAGTAGCAGCAGAGTTTATGATGACAATAATGTCCATCCTGCATACTTGGTGTTATGGTACATGTACTTATTTCTGGTTTCAATGTTACGAGTAATTTTGGTTGTTACTGTTGTACAAAAAGGAAGTAAAAAAAGAAAGAGCAACATAACTGGGAACAAAACTATAAAGAGGAATGCAAAAAATTATAATAATAGAAAGCAAATGGAAGATTTTGTAGATAAAAATAGATCAAACGCCAAAGCATACTATATAAGACAATGTAACAGTGTCAAAACAAAGCAAGAATTGCATATAAAATCAGTAAAAAGTATAAGATTGCTTCTGCAAAGGTTTGATCCAAGCAGTTTCATGCATTGAACTCAGGTTATATATTGCAAAAATGTAAAAATTGGTATTACAAAAATAAGGATGCAAAAATTAGGAAGTCAACATGCTATTCCAAAAAAAAAACAATGCTAATCCAGTCGATAAAATCTTTAAATTATTCAAGAGCAACATATTCTAATGATCTACAGCCAAAGCAGCAACAATCTAGAGATCGTTATCAAAAGGATCCGATCCCCAAAAATTAAAATCAGAAGAACGCTACAAAAAATTCTTGACCTCAAAAACAAAACTCCTTGAAACAATATTATGAAAATAGAGACGCAATATTACGTGCAACAAAAAAAAATTTTTGTGACAAATTTTCTGATAACAAAATGGATAAATTAGAGATGGCACTAAATAAAGAAAATAAGAAGCATCTAAATAAAGATTATTATGAATGTAATTATAGTAACATATTGTATAGACTACGGTCTAATGACTCATTAGCTGCACCAAATTGTGAAGCAAAGGAATATTATTTTACGAAAATTAATGAAGCATTATATTACAGCCCTGAAATAATTGATGATATATTGCCATCAAGTATGAAAGG